GAGAGAGAGAGAGAGAGAGAGAGAGAGAGCAAGCGGGTATTTAGATAGAGACAATCGCAGTTAAAACGGTGATCAGCTCCGATTAAAGACGTCGGATTTCAAGCGGATGTCACAACAAAAGGATCGACGTGGCCTAACCAAGATACGGAGACTCCCGATAATGTTTCGGTTAACCACTTCGTTTCGCCTTTTTTTTTTTTAGATGAACGAACATTGTCGAACGGTAACCGAGATCGATGCGATCGGAGCGAAAGGGACGGTACACAGCAGGAAGTTGGATGTGCGAAAGGCAAACAGCTGTTTGACAGATGGAGGCCCTGCGCGTTAGCTCGGCTCGGTTCGGCCTCGCTCGCTCGCTCGCTCGCTCGCTCGCCCGCTAGCTGGCTGGCTGGCTGGCCCGGCGACCTTGACCCGTCAACCTCCTCCGAGAGGCGGAGAGACGCGAGGTGGGTGCGTGCGTGCGTGACAAACTCACTCACCGATGCGCCACATCCTAGTGGGCGCCGTCGTTCTGCACGCGGATGGCAGCGGCGGTGGCGGCTTCTCGACGACAACGACGGTTGCGATCGTGGCACCGCGTTAACGAATATCACGGCACGGAACGGAGCGCGGAGTGCCGCTGTGACAGGCGCGCGCGTGTATAACGCACGGCAATGACGATGATGACCGATGAACGTAACGGCGCGGCGCGGCGGGAACGTGCGCGCCGCTATTTCCACGATACTCGCGCGACAAAGTTGCAGAGTCACCGTAGGAGCAGCCACCGCCGTGGAAGCGGTCCTCCATTAACGACGTTCCACAGGCACGACCGCCCACACGTAGCCGAGGGAGAGCGAGAGCATGTGAGAGAGAGAGAGAGAGAGAGAGAGGGAGAAAGAGGAAAAGAGAGACAAAGGAAGTGGAGGATGTCGCGTAGATGGGACGTCAAAATTCAAAACATCGCTTTTCCCGCTAACCGATTCGGTTCGTCGTCAAACTTGGACGTGTCCACACGCGCGACTCCGTGTAGATTGGAAAAAATAGAGTACACCGATAGAGCAATAATGAAGAGAGAGAGAGAGAGAGAGAGAGAGAGAGAGAGACAGAGAGAGACATAGAGAGGGAAAGAGGAAAAAGAAAACGGGGCGACGAAGCAAGCGGAAGGAGACGTGGCACGGGCGAGGATGCGCGAGGCGAGGCGAGGTGAGACGAGGTGAGGTGAGGCGAGGTGAGGCGAGGCGAGGTGAGGTGAGGCGAGGTGAGGTGAGGCAAGGTGAGGTGAGGTGAGGTGAGGTGAGGTGAAGCGAGGCGCTGTGCACTGTGTTCGTGACATGTACGGTCGATGAAAAATGAGCCATCGACGAAAAGGCCTCCACAAAGTGAGAAATGAAAGGGAACAGATCCGCGCTGTGTCAACAGAGCGCGCGACAAAGACGACAACGGCAACGATGATGACGGAATTGTCAAAAAAGCGTGGCATTAGGCAAAAGAGAGAAGAGCAGGGAAAAAAACGGAGCGTGAGGGACAGAAAGATAGAGAAAGAGGAAAAACAACATATCATCTATTGCGTGAATGATGCACGAGTATACGTGAGAGGAGAGAGAGACTAGGTTTCGGACGATGACGATGTCGTGCGAACGAGTGAAATCTCCGCGATCTCGCGACGGCGCGACGTCGGCGATGTTGACGCTCGGCGTCGATGACGCCCGATCTCAAATACCTGATCCGTAGTGCGATCTTTTGGTCGCGCCGTTCTCCGCATCGCAGTCGAGCGGCCGCTTTCTGGAGTCCGCAATCTCCGGGGAGGGACACGTCTCCATTCCTGAATCGGCGGCCATCTTGGTTTGTTCGTTGCGCGCACGTAACCCACACAACACACACACACACGTACACCACACACGCACGGGACTCGCACACCCGCGCGCGCGGGTGCACACGCACGGCCACGGAGATTACGGAGGAGCAGACGGCGCGCACCAGTGGCACACACAATGAAGACGGAATGATTCAATGATGTACACCACGGATCGCGCACCACACGTACTCGCACCTCCCTCTCTCTCTTTCTCTCTTTCTTCTTGCCTCCTGATTGGAGGAGGGGAAGGCTAGAAAGACGAGGGGAGAAAGAGGAAAAACGGTGCGGACGAGGCGAAGGAGCGCGCGCGAGCGGGAGTCGGGACGAACGATGGTGGAGCGACGCGCTGGAGGAGGCAGAGCAGACGATGCTCGCGGAGGCAAGTGTCGTGTTCGCGAATGAAGTGCGAGTAAAGAAGCACGATATTACTTCCAGATGAACGGACGAACGAACGTACGTACGTGCGTGCGACTGTCAAAACGGAACCAGCAAAAGGAGGAAAAGAAGGAGATAACAGTTACGGCGGGCACACGCGTAGGGGAATCCCCGCCACGGATACTTAAAGCACGCGTACAGACGGACGGACGAACGAACGAACAAATAACACACGCGCTCGCGGGGTGCCGCGTCTCACTGGCGACTGCTCAGTTGCTCACGACTCCCTTGCTAACCAGCTGGTTGATACTCGCGCAACTCAGTGTGCCCTCGCACACGTACACCTCCTCTCCTCTCTAGGTTTCACCGCGTCTCCGTCTAGCGTTTGACCTACCGCTACTCCGCCACCGTTTCTCTCTTTCTCTTCCTCTCGTGCGCGCGCAGTTGTTCTATTCGTCTCTGTCTTTCTTCCGCCGTCCTCGGGCGCCTCACAATCAGCTCAGCGCGGGCTTCGTTCGGTTCATTCGGTTGTGGCGGAGTGAGCCGAATGTAGTCGCGGCCGTGCTATCGTTCTCTCTCTTCGCTACCCCTCCCCCTCCCCCCGCTCTCTACGAAAAGTTCGACCGACCAACCGACTGATCGGACGAATGCTTCCGGGACCCTTCGGAGCAGCGAGCGTTGCAACGCGGCGGATGGTGCGCACTACACGCGTTACGTAAGCTGTGCCGACGACGACGCGGGGGATATAACGGACGTAATAACCTGCTGAAGCTGTGCGTTGTCCTGCTGCGCGCCGCCGCCGCGCGCAGCCGTCTCGGAGTGACGTTTGCCGCGTTCGAGCACTTTTTAATTATTATATACGGATTGACGGAATTGCCTCCGCGATTTTCACCCGCCTTCACGCGCATACATACACATCACGCTCGTTCGCACGCGCATTGAATTAAATTTTAATTCGAGCGAAACTGATCCTAAACCGGAGACGTGATACCTGTACATATAATATGTATATGCATTTGATCCGTGTAGATTGCGATCGAGACGAACTTCGTGTACTATCCGACTACACATCCGCGACTTCTCTCTCTCTCTCTCTCTCTCTCTCTCTCTCTCTCCCCCTTTCTCTCGAACGTACACGCGGTTGTTGGATCTTATTTTACGCCTCTTTCCGCGTGCGCGATGAGCAATCCTCCACGACCTCTGCGCCTTTTTTAAGCGCGATAGCGCAATTCATTGCATTCATGCGCGACGCGACGGAATCGCGCGATAGTACTCTCATGAATTCCTTATCCTTGGCTGTCTATAAATGTATCGCGGCAGATATACTACATCTCATCATATACCGTACGTTCCCGGTAACAGGAGCAAAGTTCTTTCACAAAGAAAACCGCATATTGCGCACAAATCTGCTTCTTCTTCATCTTGCTCATTTTCTCCGTTAGTTTCGAAGTTGATCAAAGGATGCTAGATGTCATAAATGTCCTCGCGCATTCATGCCAATCACGCCAGATGCATCCGCTCGAAAGAATACGCATCACACAGCTATAGGTATCGCCTTGAAAAATTTTTGTTTTATTTTTTTTTATCTCGAACATAAGCTTAAGGCGATCCTAAAAAGTCGTCTGTATCATCGACCAAACGTGATTATTTTCCAAAACAAAATAAACATATAATTAAAGGCAGCAGATTTAATAATCCTTCTCCACGATTAAAGTATATATAGGTATCAATGTAGTTCCGGCTGGTAGAAGTTATGTTGAGAACGAAAAAAATTTAAGAAATTTAGATCTCCGTTTAATTATACCTTTTTATAGTCCAACATAGCGTCTAGAGCTGCAGTCAACGTGTGTCAATATTTGCTTCGTATAAAAATTTGGCAGTTTATTAGTACAAAATGATACACGCCGGAACTACGAATTACATGTGCAAACAATGTAGAGTTCATAAAATTAGACTTGGATGTCTAATAAAAAAAATATATATTCTTGAAAATTTGTTACGATGTGTGCATATGATATCGATATGGTAGTAAATCTGAACACGTCACTAGATATTATTACATCAATATCGCATGCATACACACTCATAAATCGTCGGTAAAACAGCGACATTTTTAGAGTTTGATTCCAGTTTAGGATCGCCTTAAGAGGATGCTAAAGCCGTCTGTTTTATCGACAAAAATACCATTTTTGTTGGTTACTAATTACTTCGTATTAATCGCATAGAATAAAATTTCCTTTTCCACGATTAAAACACACATGCTAATGTATCTGGCTCTGGTGCATTTTGTACCAAAACGGGAAAAAATGAAATAATTACAGATTTCGTTATCCATTTTAACCTCAACATGGCGACTAATGCTATCAATTTACCAAAACGTTTACTTCGTGGAAAAGTTAGGCAGGTTATATGCTCGAAATGAAGGCAGAGCCAGATGTACAATAAAGAAATGAGTATATGTGAGTCGTTAGAATTAAGTATAGAAGCCTAAATAAAGATATATTGGTAACCGACAAATTTGTGTATATGTATGAGATATATTGATGTGGTAATAAACATGACACATCACTACACACTACTACATTAGAGTCCTAGAATACAGAGATGCGACACGGCGTCGGTTAGGTTAGGTAGCCACCGCCATTTTAATTTAGTAAAGTACTTCTAACCTTATAAGCTGATGACAGTTGATACAAAAAGAAAATACTTACATCATAATAATAGCTTTTTATTGCATTTCAACACTTTGTATTGTCTCAATTTTTCTATATAATTTATATGTACAGTTCGTGCCATTAATGCCTGGGGTCCGATTTTAGAGTCCACGTTTCGTTCTTAATTATTTTTACGTCCATGACTAAGCTGCGTCAGTAAAGTGCATCAGTATAGTGCAAATGTGTTTTGACAGCTAGCCGATGTAACCTCAGTTTTGAATCGCATGTTTTAATATAACCTTGCAAAAAGGTTAAAGC